GTACCTCTGTTTGTAATCAGTTATACTGTTGCCTTTTGGTAATATAGCTCCTCACTTATTCAGCTATGTATACATCCTTGGCTGTACCTTTGATTAGTTGGCTGAGTGGGGAGGGCTAAGAACTCAAAAACTAGTTTATCCAAGACAGGAACTCTGTTTATAATTGTGTTTTGTCACATATAAATATTTTTTTGTTCATTTGGGAAATTGCTGTTTATAGTAGTTCTTTGTAACTGTCTTATTTAATCAACCTTTCGTTTTTATTTTGCGGTCGTATATTGGTATCACGTCGTCGTCAGCGTTGTCCGAAGACATTTGGTTTCCGGACAATAACTTTAGTTTAAGGGTATGGATCTCCATGAAATTTTAACAAAAGATCCAATACCACAAAAGGAAGGTTGGGATTGTTTTTGGGGTTGATGGTCCCAACCGTTTAGGAATTAGGTGCCAAAAAGGGGCCAAAACAAGACTTTTTAGTTTCAGGACAATAACTTGTGTATAAGTATTTTGATTGCTCTGAAATTGTCCACAAGGTTCAATACCACAAGTAGAAGGTTGGGATTCATTTTGGGGGTAATTGCCCAAACTGTTCAGGAATTAGGGGCCAAAAAGGGTCTAAAACAAGCATTTTTCTAGTTTTCAGACAATAACTTGTGTTTAAGTGTATGGATGTCTCTTAATTTGTACAAGGATTTGTATATTAAATCCTATGTACCACATTTTAAAAAAAGATAGTTTCTTCAAAATTATTTTTTTGGAAGGAGGGGGGGGCAATTTTTTTCCTCAAAAAGAAAATCATTCATTTCAAATATTATTTTTTTTTGAGGGGGGGGGGGGTCATTTTTTTTCCTCAAGATTTAAGAAATTGTCACTTTTCCAAAGAAAAAAATTGGGGGTCTAAATTTATTTTGCTAATTCTTTGTATATAGTCTGAAAACAGATTTACTAAGTATTGAGCAACAGCACAGTGTATTGCAAAAGAGCAAGAAATCTTCAATTGAATATAAATTCAAATCATACAACCAATTTGAAGTTCTTTGACACATTTATTCTGTGTCAGAAACCTATAATGTGTCAAATATTTAATTACAATCCAAATTCAGACCTGTATCAAGCTTGAATTTTGTGTCCATTTTTGCCCCAACTGTTCAGATTTGGACCTCTGCGGTCATATCCAGCTGGGCTCGGTGAAGCAGTTTATTAAATTTGGGGCAATTTAGAACTTGATTGATTGATTGATTGGTGTTTAACGCCACTTTCAGCACCATTATGCTATTTTGTGGTGGTCAGTTTTTATTGGTGGAGGAAACCATAGTGCCCAGAGAGAACCACCAACCATTGGTTGGAAAACTGACAATCCTATTCAATTAAGATTAGAGTCAAGCACACCTGCCATATGCAGGATTTGAACTCACAACCTCGGTGTTGACAGGTTAGTGATACAGTAGTTGGACTACTTAGACCACTTGTCCACCAAGGCCCCTTTAGAACTTGAATTGTATGGACTACCCCTGTACCTTTCTACTATTGAAGACCATATATTGGCCTCTTTTGGTGGTTTGGTTTTTTGTCGAGCCTGCGACTTTTGTCGCAGAAAGCTCGACATAGGGATAGTGATCCGGCAGCGGCGGTGGCAGCAGCGTTAGCTAACTTCTTAAAAGCTTTATATTTTAGAAGCTAGAAGACCTGGATGCTTCATACTTTGTATATAGATGCCTTATGTTACGACCAAACTTGTCCACAATCATCATTGGGGTATCTAGTTTAAAAAATGTGTCCGGTGACCCGGCCAACCAACCAAGATGGCCGCCATGGCTAAAAATAGAACATAGGGGTAAAATGTAGATTTTGGCTTATATCTCTGAAACCAAATCATTTAGAGCAAATCTGACACGGGGGTAAAATTGTTTATCAGGTCAAGATCTATCTGCCCTGAAATTTTCAGATGAATCAGACAACCCGTTGTTGGGTTGCTGCCCCTGAATTGGTAATTTTAAGAAAATTTAGCAGTTTTTGGTTATTATCTTGAATATTATTATAGATAGAGATAAACTGTAAACAGCAATAATGTTCAGCAAAGTAAGATCTACAAATAAGTCAATATGACCAAAATGGTCAGTTGACCCCTTAAGGAGTTATTGCCCTGTATAGTCAATTTTTAACCATTTTTCGTAAATTTTTGTAATCTTTAACAAAAATCTTCTCCTCTGAAACTACTAAGACAAATTTAACTAAACTTGTCCACAATCATCATTAGGGTATCTAGTTTAAAAAATGTGTCCGATGACCCCGCCCGCGAACCAAGATGGCCGACATGGCTAAAAAATAGTTCATAGGGTAAAATGCAGTTTTTGGCTCATATCTCTAAAACCAAAGCATTTAGAGCAAATCTGACAGGATAAAATTGTTCATTAGGTCAAGATCTACCTGCCCTGAAATTTTCAGACCAATCAGGCAACACGTTGTTGGGTTGCTGCCCCAGAATTGGTAATTTTAAGAAAGTTTTGCAGCTTTTGGTTATCTTGAATATTATTATAGATAGAGATAAACTGTAAACAGCAATAATGTACAGCAAAGTAAGATCTACAAATAAGTCAGCATGACCAAAATTTTCAATTGACCCCTTAAGGAGTTATTGTCCTTTATAGTCAATTTTTTACAATTTTCATAAATTTTGTAAATTTTTGTAAATTTTTACAAAATATTTTCCACTGTAACTACAGGGCCAAGTTCATTATAGATAGAGATAATTGTAAGCAGCAAGAATGTTCAGTAAAGTAAGATCTACAAACACATCACTATCACCAAAACACAATTTTGTCATGAATCCATCTGTGTCCTTTGTTTAATATGCACATAGACCAAGGTGAGCGACACAGGCTCTTTAGAGCCTCTAGTTTGTAATGTTAATTTCTTTCTTATTATGAGCAATAGGATAACTATATTTAGTATGTGCGTACCTTGCAAGGTCCTCATGCCCGTCAGACAATTTTCATTTGACCTCGACCTCATTTCATGGATCAGTGAACAAGGTTAAGTTTTCGTGGTCAAGTCCATATATCAGATACTATAAGCAGTAGGTCTACTATATTTGGTATATGGAATGATTGTAAGGTGTACATGTCCATCTGCTAGGTGTCATCTGACCTTGACCTCATTTTCATGGTTCAGTGGTCAAAGTTAAGTTTTTGATTTTTGGTCTTTTTTTCTAATACTATATGCAATAGGTCAACTATAAATGGTGTATGGAAATATTTTATGATGTACATGTCAGTCTCACAGGTTTTATTTGACCTTGACCTCATTTTCACGGTTCATTCCTCAGTGTTAAGTTTTTGTGTTTTGGTATGTTTTTCTAATACTATATGCAATAGATCAACTATATTTGATGTATGGAAGGATTGTAAGGTGTATATGTCTGTCTGGCAGGTATCATCTGACCTTGACCTCATTTTCATGGTTCATTGGTCAATGTTAAGTTTTCATGGTTAAGTTTGTTTCTTAGATACTATAAGCAATAGGTCAACTATATTTAATGCCTAAATTGATTGTAAGGTGTACATGTCTGTCTGTCATGGTACATCTGACCTTGACCTCATTTTCATGGTTCATTGGTCAATGTTAAGTTTTCTTGTTTAAGACTGTTTCTTAGAAACAATAAGCAATAGGTCAACTATGTTTGGTTTATTGAATGATTGTAAGGTGTACATGTATTTCTCGTTTGGTTTATCTGACCTTGACCTCATTTTCTTGGATCATGTTAAGTTTATGTGTTACTTGTAGTAAAGCTTTGTATTTAGGACTATCAACATAAAATCAATGGTTAGTAAAGAAGGTAAAACATTTCAGCGTGTGCACTCATGTTGGGGTTTTTTTTTTTTTGGCTGCTGTAATTGAAGTATACAAAACATATATCCTTTTTGTCGAGCCTTCGACTTTAGTCGAAAAAGCGAGACATAGTGATCCTACATTCCGTCGGCGTCGTCGTCGTCGTTGTCGTCGGCGGCGTCCACAAATATTCACTCTGTGGTTAAAGTTTTTAAAATTTTAATAACTTTCTTAAACTATCCTGGATTTCTACCAAACTTGGACAGAAGCTTGTTTATGATCATAAGATAGTATCCAGAAGTAAATTTTGTAAAAATAAAATTCCATTTTTTCCGTATTTTACTTATAAATGGACTTAGTTTTTCTGCCGGGAAATTTTACATTCACTCTGTGGTTAAAGTTTTTAAAATTTAAATAACTTTCTTAAACTATCCTGGGTTTGTACCAAACTTGGACAGAAGCTTGTTTATGATCATAAGATAGTATCCAGAAGTAAATTTTGTAAAAAAATAAATCCATTTTTTCCTTATTTTATTTTTAAATGGACTTAGATTTTCTGCCAGGAAACAACACATTCACTCTGTGGTTAAAGTTTTTAAAATTTTAATAACTTTCTTATACTATTTTGGATTTGTACCAAACTTGGACAGAAGCTTGTTTTTTATCAAAAGCTAGTATCTAGAAGGAAATTTTGTAAAAAAATAAATCCATTTTTTCTGTATTCTACTTTTAAATGGACTTGGATTTTCTGCCAGGAAAAAACACATTCACTCTGTGGTTAAAGTTTTTAAAATTTTAATAACTTTCTTATACTATTTTGGATTTGTACCAAACTTGGTCAGAAGCTTGTTTATGATCAAATACTAGTATCTAGAAGGAAATTTTGTTTTCTTCCAGTTAACATTACATTCAGTCTGCAGTTAAAGTTTTTAAACATTTATTAGATTCATAAACTATCCTGGATTTTTACCAAACTTGGACAGAAGCTTCTTACAATCAAAAGATAGTATCAAGTGAAATATTTTTATTGATTTACTTCCTCATTTTTGTTGAGCCTGCGATTAACAGAAAAAGTAGGCGAGACACTGGGTTCCGCGGAACCCTTACGAATTTTATTTATACAGTATGAAGTTTAAGGCCTTTCTATTTATCATACTGTCATTATTTTGTAGGCTGTAAAGGCATGGCACACAAACAGGATAGACACAACTGTAGTGTTATGGTTAATATGAAGTTGTATCTCAGTAATTTGAATCACTGGCAGATTCAGGTCAAAGGTGATCATGTAGAAGATGGAGTGTTATGGACTTTACCCCCAGGACGCAGAATAAATGAAGTGACGAGGGACCAAATTATTTCTACATATTCAAGTGATAAGCCAGAAGATCCAGAGGAAGGGATAATCAAAATTATGCCATTCGATAATGAGAGGAAACGATATTCTAGATACATGGCCAGTATGAAAAGGAGGCGAAAAATGAAAACTTACAATGCAAGAAATGAATGCAACGAGATTGAAAGTTTAGAGCAAGATCGACCTCATAGTGATTCAATAGAAACATCAGCTATATGTGATAACACAGAAGTAAATGTGTCACATGTGTACACTTATACAACACATAAACTGGCAGATTCTGTAGGACCTATTACAGACATTGTTAGTCCACAATGTCTTAGCCAGGAGACAATTATATATGCTGAAACACCATCAATATCCAATAACTATCAATATACTATTATATAAGGTAATCACTAGAAACTGGAAAATCTGGTGGCAAAACATTACCTCCCCTGTGAACATTGAGAAATACAACTCTGCAAGGACGTTACTTATTATAAGTTCACAAGAAAATGATTTGGTAAATAGTAATAATAAAAAAAAAATTAAATAAAAACTGAATTTCCTTATGATGTTATTATTTTCTTCTCAATATAGCAAAGGATGAGGATGGCAGGCTGTAGAAGTTTTGTGTAAAAGTGGTTTGAAATGTTGCTATGGAAAAGGACAAAATTTACCAACCTCTTTTTATTTTCTACTGGCTGTGTATAGAACTTAACTGGAACATGCCAATTATCTGTATATATAACCAGCTAGTCCAGATTTGTCAAGGGAAAAAAATCAACAGTGTCATTTGATATGCTGTAATGTAAAATATTTCAACTTGAACAGCCATAACCTTTAAATCATTATATTCACATTAAGACAGTTTTTGATATTGAAAGTTTCTGTGACATTGGTTTGTTTGAAAACTTAGTTTTGAAAAGTTGGTAGATTTCTGGAAATTATACCACACTAAAGACTATTTGGAACACTCTGAAAATTGGTGTTTGAATAGAGCTTTAGTTTTTTTATCTGCAAGATTTTGTCAGTCATGGTCTATTGACTTTGAAACTTTTACTTAGTTTACACTTATTAGTTTGTGATTAGGTCAGTTTATGGGGAACCACTAGTATAGGTCAATGATATTTGGTATGCAGTTGTATAAGCATTAGCAGATCTCATTTCCATGGAGATTATTTGGCCCTGCCCCCTCATTCATGGTCTATTAACTTTGAAACTTTTGCTTAGTTTTCATGTATTAGTTTGTGATTAGGTCAGTTTAAGGGGAACTATTAGTGGTAGGTCAATGATAATTGGTATGCAGTTGTATAAACATTAGCATATCTCATTTCCATGGAGAATATTTGATCCTTACCCCTCAGTCATGGTCTATTGACTTTGAAACTTTTACTTAGTTTACATGTATTAGTTTGTGATTAGGTCAGTTTAAGATGAACCACTAATGTTAAGTCAATGATATTCGGTATTGAATGTATTGGCATTTGCAAGTTTCATTTCCATGGAGATTATATAACCCCACCCCCTAATTATGGTTCATTGACTTTGAAACTTTTACATAGTTTACAAGTTAATGTTTGTGTTTAGGTTTGTTTAAAGGGAACGACTTATGAAAAGTCAATGGTATTTGGTTTGCAGTTGTATTAGCATTGGCACATCTCATTTTCATGGAGATTGTTTAGCCCTGTACCTTCAGTCATGGTTCATTGACTTTGAATATTTGCATAACTTACATGTTAAAGTATTGCTATTTTAATTTCAACATTTGCATTATCAAAATAACAAATAGGCGAGACATATCTCTGTGTTAACAGTTTATGTCAAAAAAAATTACAAATATCGAGAAAATCTTTTATGGTAGGATATCAACAAAAAATTATATATTTTAAGAAACATCTGGTTCTCTGTGTCAAAAATTTTTGTTTGCCCACCATATATTACAAAAGTGCATGCGTAAAATAAGCTCCTCTAATTCCTAATTCTCAGCACCCCTGCCTCCCCCTTTCCCAAACATTAAATCCTGGATTTGCTCCTGTATAGCTTGTTCTGTCTGAATTCCTTATTCATGAGCATTAAAGTAACCGACTATAAACAATTTATTAAGTGATTAGTATTTAGATATTTTGTGCAGTTTTTCTTCATTTCTTATTTGTACTAAATCTGTATGAAAGAAAAGATAATAATCATGAAAAAATATGATCACTAAATCAAGAAAATGAGCAATTTTTAGTATTTATATGGAAACATATTTTCTTATTGATTTACATGAGAAGAGTTATTAAGTTAAAAGTACAGCAATATAATCTGATAATTATTTGTATATACATATGTACTCAAATCATGTTGTATGATCAGTAGCTGCAATAAATACATGTCTAATATTCAGTCAAATTTCATTAAATATCGGAATTACATATGTTATTGGTTGTAGAAGGTGATATGTCATATGATTAAGTTAATATTTCTTGTAATGTTTAAAGCAGCTATTTCTAATTATATTTAAACTTGATTTGGCTTCATTCTATTTCTATAGTATAGTATATTACTTCTGTAATTAACATTTAAATTTGATTCATTCAAATAAAGCTTAGTAAATGCAATAAAGAATCAAAAGAGGTGGCTGATTTACTTTTTGATTAGTTTATTTAAGAAGGACTTATTGTTATCTTGGTAGACACTTTGCTAACATACAACAATTAACAGAGTCTATGTAGACTTTTAGGTAACATAAGAATTAACAGACTTTGGAAAACACCATTTCTTCATTAATTACAGAATAATGTTTTATTATACATCAAAGTAACTTATATATAGAAAATAAAGCCAGGTTTGACATATATATAGTATACTTTTATAGCTGACTATGCATTATGGGTCTTGCTCATTGTTGAAGGCCGTATGGTGACCTATAGTTGATTATTTCTATGTCATTTGTTCTCTTGTGGACAGTTGTCACATTGGCATTCATACCACATCTTCGTATTTTTTGTATAAATAAGGTGTGAGTCTAGTGTTATCATTCAATGTAATGTTACATCCTTTAAGGTTTATTGTGTGTGTTACCTGCTGTGGCCAAGCTGGTTACATCCTCTAAGGTTTATTGTGTGTGTTACCTGCTGTGGGCAAGCTGGTTACATCCTCTAAGGTTTATTGTGTGTGTTACCTGCTGTGGCCAAGCTGTTTACATCCTCTAAGGTTTATTGTGTGTGTTACCTGCTGTGGCCTAGCTGGTTACATCCTCTAAGGTTTATTGTGTGTGTTACCTGCTGTGGCCTAGCTGGTTACATCCTTTAAGGTTTATTGTGTGTTACCTGCTGTGGCCTAGCTGGTTACATCCTTTAAGGTTTATTGTACCTGCTGTGGCCAAGCTGGTTACATCCTCTAAGGTTTGTAGTCTGTGTTACCTGCTGTGGCCTAGCTGGTTACATCCTTTAAGGTTTATTGTGTGTGTTAACTGCTGTGGCCTAGCTGGTTACATCCTCTAAGGTTTATTGTGTGTGTTACCTGCTGTGGCCAAGCTGGTTACATGTCTTAATGTTTTATCTATTAGAAAAATATGATGACTGGATTGTTCTTAGTTTTAAAATGGTGTTTAATTTTCTTGCCAATAAAACTAACATGACCCAGACTTTTTGAAAATATTAGGGTTAAAATTAGTTAACAGAATTCAGACAACTCCTTTAAAGGCCTAATTGCTGCTAACCATGGGAGAAGGATACACATAGATATGTCTAATGCTGTACATGTTATTGTCATAATAATTGGTTGTTATCTTAATTTGAAACAAAAAAAAAAGATAAATAGAAATTCAATTCTGATGAGACCATTTGTTACTGAAATGATTTTATAGTTGTGATTGTCTTTCAGAATAATGTTAGATCAAACTGTACAACCTGCCCATATTATTGTGTATGAAAATGGACTTTTAAAATCATGCACCTCTGTTGTCATATTTCACAAAGATGGTAGTTTTGTATTTTTCGTTTATTTCTCCATTTCTTGAATGAAATGCACTGTTAATTGTTTCAATTTATTGATCATTAATTGAATACCTGTTAGCTTATATATTTACTAGTTGCAGAAAACTAGGACAATCTATTCTTATATTTAATCAAAAATATTATGGACGTCCCTTTTTAGACAAGTTTTTTTGACAATATAAACAAGAAAAATATTACATTGAAACACTACTCATCAAATTATTTATTTTTTAATTATTCTAAACTTCAATTTTTTTCTATATTTATCACTCAAATTATTCAATTACCCTATGGTAAAAACAAATTATTTAAATGCCCAAAAAGGCGCAAGCCAGGGCCGACCGTGCGAGGGCTGTATAGCCAGTCAAGGTCGTTAAAAACTCCCATCATCATGAAACACTACACCTGTCCATTTATTTCATAGTGTAAAACAGAACTCTGGTTAATTAAAGAATTTTTTTAAAGGAGAAAATAAAATGAATTAAATAATGAATTCCTGACACACTCTTTAAGTATACAGTGATGCATGATTGTATCCATGAGGTTTTTCTTTAAATCAGGGATTTTTCAAAATGATACAGGTCGCTGTATGGTGTGTAGATGAATACCTCGTAAGTAATTGCTATGCAGCAATTGTTCACATTGAATTTGAGTCAGAAGGCCAGGAAGCTAGGTTTGTGATGCAGGTTCCTCAGAGTCTAGTGTATTATATTGGTTTAAATAGCTACTGTTTCTAAAATGGAATTTATTTGTATTTGCTTTATACATCAGGTGTTTTAAGTTTTCTTACCCCATTCTTGCATGTATTTATACCTACCACCTGATGTATGATTATTTAATGATTTTACACCAGATGGACTCAGTTATTTTGAGAATGAATTACTTGATCTGAATTACTTTAGAAACTGTATGATTAATATCTAATGTCATAATATTTTCATCTCAATGCAAAATCAGTTAACCTATGACCTCCATTTAATCCCAATAACTAGATAATGGTGAAATGGAGAAATACACCAGGCAGAGGTATAAGGGTTAAATACACTGGCCTAAATGAAAAGTTGGATGAGGAGTGAGGAAAAAAGTCAAGCTCTGTTTTTTTTTTTATGGAGGGGCCATTAAGTTTTACCCTTGTCCGTCTGTACGTCCATCCATATATTCGTACACCCGAAATTGGTTTCCGTTCTCTAACTTTAGTTTGCCTCAACCGAATGTTATGAAACTTATACACAATGCTTATTACCACACGTTTGAATTTGGGTGGGGTCATTTTTACCTTTCTAGAGATATGCCCCTTTACAATTGGAAAATTTGCTGAATTTTTCTTCTCCGTTCTCTAACTTAAGGTTGCCTCCTCCAAATGTTATGAATCTTATACACAATGTTTATTACCACACAACACAGATCAAGTTTGATTTTTGGTGGTGTCACTTTTACCGTTCTAAAGCTTATAATGCCTTGACATTTTACCTTTTACCTTGTTATTGATTAAGGTTCCTGCTATTCACATTAGAAACCATTTTTTTTCGGAAAAAATTGTGGGTGCAAGGTTTCAATATTCCACAGTTTCATAAGGTAAACTTTGACTTATGACTTGAAAATAATTGTACCAAGTTGAAGATTGGATGTCAGTTCTTACCCTCTGTTGTGCGAGGGACAGTCTATACTAACTGTCCCTGGTTGTGCCTACATCGATCAACATCTCAGTTTTCATTGTATTTACCAGAACTCAGATTTTAAACTGTTTCAGTGGCTGTGGATATTTTTAGTTTGCTACTGTTTGTCTAAGTACTGATGATATGAATAATGTCATCAAAGAAGATGTGGGATATTAGATGTACGTCGTTGAGCCAACCTAACATCACATCAAGGTAGTAACTAAAACAAGTCTTGCTACCATATCATGGTGTTTATTGCTGCTGTAATATCTAATATAGACAAAGTGAGTAAACTACACAAATACCCGCCATTAAGGAGGGCCTGGATGGAGGGTCCTTTATTTTTGTATTCTTTAATTTTTTAGGCCATTTTTCTCTATTCTTTGTGATTTTGCCCATTATGTTATTTTCTTTTCTTTGTATAAATATTAGCACTATTGTCTCCATTACTCTTTTGTATTCTTTAATTTTGTTGTATTTTCCTCTGTTCTTTATTTTTTTGCACTTTATTTTTGCCCATTATTCTCTATTCTGTAAACCCCATTCATAAAAGCATTGAGACACCAACTAACTAAGGATTTTGTTCGGATATTTACTCTTGGTCTCAGCCGAGTTTATCTCGACAAATGGAATAACAAAGGTTACACAGAAAACATAATATAAATCAGTACAGCAAAACGCTCAACTCAATAATATTGGTATTATATAGACATGAACACAGCTTTCTAATTATTACCGTATCCAAGGATAAGTATACAGAACCTTTTTACAAATAAATCCTTGCCGTATCAAATAAGAATATTTGTAGGTTCTAAAATGAAAACACGTATTACAATGCAAAAAGTGTTTGTACAGAATTCCACACAAGAAAATTTAGAAAATAATAAAACATTTAATTAATTTCATTTACTTGGTTCATGATCAATAACTTAAAAGATCTGCGAAGAGTTGTTATAAAAATTTATAGATATATTGAATAATTAATCTCGTAGTGCATAATATGAAAAGTAATTCAATTGGGGCATTACACTGATGACAGTCATGCTCTACCCACATATTATTGATACAATTACTCTCAAAACTCATTCAAGTAGTAAAACCTTATAAAAGAAGACAACGG